GTTTATACTTACTTATAAGTGGATATTAGACCTAATATAGCATAATCATGCCTAAATCTGTATACCTAAAGAAGCTAAACAAGAAGGAGGAACCTGCCTAAGAAGCTCAATCTTCATTCAGAAAGGCAAATGGGATAGACATTGGAAGAAGTTTAAAATAATGAACAAGACAGGAACCTAACACAGAGCACCTCTGAAAGACTCTACCCAGCAGAGTATTAAAGCGATGCTGAGACTTGTAGCCAAACTTTGCGCAGAGTGCACGGAATCTTATGAAAGAAGGGGGCGATAGAAACACCTGTAAGGGTCTGGAGCTCAACAAGGAGAACAACAGATTCAAAAAATCTGGGCCTAGGGGTCTTTTCTGAGACTGATACTCCAACCAAGAACCATTCATGGAGATAACCTCGACCCCCAGCACAGGGGTAGCCAGTGGCAGCTCAGTCTCCAAATGGGCTCCCTAATAAGGGGAGCAGGGGCTGTCTCTGACATGAACTCAGTGGATGACTCTTTGATCACCTCCCCCTGAGGAGAAAGCAGCCTGAACAGGCCACAGAGGAAGACTATGAAAAACAGTCCTCATGAGACCTGATAGGCTAGGGTCAGATGGAAAGGGAGGAGGTCCTCCACTATCAGTGGACTGGGGATAGGAGATGAGGGAGGGAGAGAAGGTGGGATTAGGAGGAAATAAGGGTGGGGCTACAGCGGGGATACAAAGTGAATAAACTGTAATTAATAAAAATAAAATTTTTAAAGAGTATAAAAAATAAAAAAATTAAAAGTACATGGTACTGGCATAGAAACAGAATAGTGGATCAATGGAATCGAACAGAACATCCAGAAATAAACCCACACACCTACAGATACTTGATTTTTGGCAAAGAGGCCAAAACCATACAATGGAAAAAAGACAGCATCTTCAAGAAATGGTTCTTGTGTTACTGCATGGCTACATGTAGCAAAAAACAAATAGATTCGTGTTTATCACCCTGCACAAAACTAAAATCCAAGTGGATCAAAGACCTCGCTCAACATAAAACCAGATACACTAAATCTGTTACAAGAAAAAGTGGGAAAGAGCTTTGAACTCATTGGCACAGGAGACAACTTCCTGAAAAGAACAGCAACAGCACAGGCACTAAGATCAACAATCAATAAATGGAACCTCATAAAATTGAAAAGCTTCTGTAAAGCAAAGGACACTGTTGTCAGAACAAAACGACAACCTGCGGACTAGAAAATGATCTCCACTCTGTGAGATTAGCCCATCTTACAGAGGGCTAATATATTAAAAAATATGTAAAGAACTCAAGAAAAGAAACACCAACACACCAAACAATGCACTTTAGAAATGGGATACAGAGATAAACAGAATTCTCAACAGAGGAATCTTGAGTGGTGGAAAAGCACTTAAAGAAATGCTCAATGTCCTAGATCATCAGAAAAATGCAAATCAAAACAACTCTGATATTCCATCTTACACCTTTCAGAATAGCTAAGACCAAAAACTCATGTGACAACACATGCTGGGAAGGATGTGGAGAAAGGGGAACCCTCCTCCACTGCTGGTGCTAGTGCACAGGACAACCACTCTGGAAATCAATCTGGCGCTGCTTTCCCAGACAACTGGGAATAGCCATACCTTAAGACCCAGCTATACCATTCCTGGGAATACATCCGAAAGATGCTCCACTATACCACAAGGACATTCAACCAACCATGTTCATAGCAGTTTTATTCGTAATAGCCAGAAACTGGAAACAACCCAGATGTCCATTAACGGAGAAATGGATACAGAAACTGTGGTACATTTACACAAGGGAATACTACTCAGCAATTAAAAACAAGGAAATCATGAAATTTGCAGGCAAATGGATGGAACTAGGAAAGATAAGTGGAGTAATACAGATCCAGCAAGACACACATGGTATATACTCACTTATAAGCAGATTTTAGTCTTAAAGCACAGGATAGGCATACTACAATGCACAGATATCAAGAAGATAAGACAGATAGGAATCTTAGGCCTCATGTGGGCCCAACTAGTTAGGGAAAGGGAGGAAATCTCAGTCAGGGACTATGTTGCCTGGGTTTTGATCAATTCAACCTGATGGGGTTTCCCTATCAGCCACAGGGGAGAAAGAAGAACTCAGTCATCATGTGAATAGATGAGCTAGGGTGTCTGGGTATGTGCCTCCCCTTTTCTGAGGAATAAGGGAAAGGCTATGCAGGAGGAAGGGTAGGAATGGGAAGAGAGGTGGGAGAGGCCTATAACCAAGATGTAAAATAAATTAATAAAAAGGAAAAATAAATAAAATTTTAAAACAGAATTCTATTATCCATTCAGAGTTAAAAATCAAAACAAACAAAACCTGACAGAATAAAAAGAGCACACCTTGACAGATTAGGTTTTTTTATGGTAAACAGATTGTACTAGTTGGAGAGAAAAATTAAAATTTTTCCATTCAAATCAAAAACAGGCCAGGTGAGTGTGTGCATTTCTTTAATTCAAACACTTTGTAGGCAAAGGTAGTAAAATCTGTGTCCACATGTAGCCAGTCTGGCCAATATAGCTAACCCAAGGCTGGCACAGCAGACATAGAGCCCCTGCCTTAAAAAAAAAAAAATGAACAGACATTAGAGTGTATTTTCTCCACTCTTCTTTAAAATAGTCATTAAAATCTAACCAAGTGCCAAAATAAATGGGGAAATGTATGCAAAAAAGAGGGAAAATGTTCCCTGGTCTGCATTGGGATTTGAGATTCATAAATGCTACAGAGTGAGACCCTGTTTTACAACCACAATAAAAGGAAAAGTTGTAGTTAAAACTGTATTTGTGGAGCACATGAGGTCAGCATCAGTGACAATGTGGTTTAGACATAGACCTTAATACTGAATGAAGGATTGAAAGCAAGCATTCAAACATGGTTGAGCAAATGTCCTTGTTGTGTACTTGAGCATCTTTTGGATATATGCCTAGGAGTGGTATAGCTGGATCTTGAGGAAGCGCTATTCCTAGTTGTCTGAGAAAGCGCCAGATTGCTTTCCAAAGTGGTTGTACGAGTTTACATTCCCACCAGCAGTGGAGGATTCCCCTTTCTCCACAACCTCTCCAGCATGTGTTGTCTCTTGAGTTTTTTATCTTAGCCATTCTGATGGGTATAAGGTGAAATCTTAGGGTCGTTTTGATTTGCATTTCCCTGATGGTTAATAAGGTTGAGCATTTTGTAGCAACCTTATTTGTAATAGCCAGAAACTGGAAACAGCCCAGATGCCCCTCACTGGAGGAATGGATGCATAAATTGTGGTATATCTACACAATGGAATATTACTCAACAATAAAAAAACAAGGAAATCATGAAATTTGCAGGTAAATGGTGGGATCTGGAAAATATCATCCTGAGTGAGCTATCCCAGAAGCAGAAAGATGCACATGGTATATACTCACTCATATAGACATATAATATAGGATAAACCTACTAAAATCTGTACACCTAAAGAAACTAATCAAGATGGAGGACTCTTGCTAAAATGTTCAATTCCTATCCAGAAAGGCAAAGAGGCTGGACATCAGAAGAAGGAGAAAAGAAGGAACAAGTCAGGAGCCTCACACAGAGGACCTCTGAAAAGCTCTGCCCTGCAGACTATCAATGTAGATGCTGAGACTCATGGGCAACCTTTGAGGAGAGTGCAGGGAATCTTATGAAAGAATTGGGAAACAGTAAGATCTGGAGAAGACAGGAACTCCATAAGGAGAGCAACAGAACCAAAAAAAAAAAATCTGAGTACAGGGGTCTTTCCTGAGACTGATACTCCAACCAACCAAGGACTATGCATGGAGATAACCTAAGACCCTTGCACAGATGTAGCCCATGGCAGTTCAGTATCCAAGTGGGTTCCATTGTAATAGGAACAGGGACTGTCTCTGACATGAACTGACATTGGCCTGCTCTTTAATTACCTCCCCCTAAGGGGGAAGCAGCATTACCAGGCCACAGAAGAAGGCCACAATACAGCCATTCCTGATGAGACCTAATTGACCAGGATCAGAAGGAAGGAAAAAAAGACCTCCCCTATCAGTGGACTTGGGGAGGGGCATGCAGACAGAGGGTGGAGGAAGGGAGGGATGGGAGGAGAGAGGGAACCACAGGGGGGATACAAAGTGAATAAAGTGTAATTAATAAAGAAAAAAAAGAAAGTAAGCATTCAAGAAGCAGCAAATTTCTGATGTAGCATTTAGAGCTCCATCACCACGTTCAGATTTACCCTAAGAAACCCTTCAATTAACTTTAAACTAACTTTTACTCAGGTTCCCCCTGTAAGGCCTTTGCACTTCAGGAAATACTTCACCTTCAAGCTTCCTGCACATCAACTCAGCACACTATATAGTCCAGGATATGTCTTTTCAGCTGTTTATTTTGTTTTTGCTTTTTTCATACTGAGTTGTAAAGATTTGCAGTGTTAATTTATTGGAGGTCATGTTTGTTATTTGGTACAGAGGAGATGTTTCCCTGTTCAGATGTCCTAGCTTGCTACTCTGTTGCTGTGATTAAACACTGACCTTAAGCAAAGCAAGATGAAGAGTTGACTTGGCTCAAGGGCTATAGTTAAGGAAAGACAAGGCAAGAACTTAAAGATCACTGGTTGGATAGTAAGAATTTCTCAGTTAAGCTTCCCTCCATCTCCTCTGTCTTTTTACTGTACTTTGTGTCAGTTTGATGAAAAATAACTAGAAAACCAAGTTGCATTCTCTGTAGTGTGTGCACAAAGCACTCTAAAAGCTCTTCCTCCTGAATTTGTAGGATTTGGTAAAGAACTCAGCTTTTCATCGTTTTGCTTCCATATATTCATGTTTGGCATTATACAAAGTCCTAAGTGACTAGTGCTACCTCAGTTTCTGTATATGAAATCGCTTTTGATATCTCAACTTGCTAATAGAATATAGTTATGGAAGAAGTGGGTAAAACTCCTGATATCAGCATGTATGTTTTTTTTCTCAGATGCCACCCTCTGTATGCAGTGCTGATTGCAGTCCTGGGTTCAGAAAATTCTGGAAGGAGGGAATGGCAGCCTGCTGTTTTGATTGCATCCTCTGCCCAGAAAATGAAATTTCTAATGAGACAAGTGAGTGTTTGCTGCTGTGGTCAATCCTTCACATTGCCGCTCCTCTCCCACCCACGCTGGGATGCTGAAGGAGCCTAGGAAAAGCAACTACAAAAATAAAATATACCATTTTACCTTAGCCTTTGTGGGAATCAAACATTAACAATGTCCTAACCAAAAAAGAAAAAATATATATTTATGCCTAGACCTAGATTTTGATTCACTGAAATTTTATGTCAGATCATATTTTCTCAAAAAAAACAGTTTTAATAATCAAAATGCAGTGTGAGCACATTCTATACAAAAGCTTTTCTTGTGATTAATCTCTAAAATAATATGTAGAAAATATTTCAGTCACGAATCTTATTAAAAATGCATTAGTTCTTTCTGTGTGTGTGTGTGTGTGTGTGTGTGTGTGTCCCTACAGATATTTATGGACACCGTGTATGTAGAGGGGCCCATGGAGAATAGAATAGGACGTCAGATCCACTGCACTGTGTAATGAGGGTGCTGGACGCCAAATCCATTTCTTCTGAAAATTAATGTAGAGGTCAAATATTACTTGTAAAATTATCACAAACTGCTAAATATGAAACAGATTTTGTGCAATTTTAAGAAGCCTATTTTCAAATGTGATTTGAATCTAGGAAGGTGGGAATAAGTGTTAGCATATGATGTAAAAAATATGAGGAGTCTTATATTCAGTGTTTTTATCTAAAGTGCCCAATTAATTAAATCATGAAGTAATAGATTATAATGATTTTTAGTCACAAATATTCAAATTTTATTGCCACCAACAGAGCAATAATCAAATGATTATATATTTAGGTTTGGATAGATGCAAAAGGCCAATGCATAGGTTTTCTCTGCTTTTGCCTGTCTTATGTAATGAAATGCTAGTTCTCTGGCAAATGAGATGATACAACATTTAAATCATTTGTCACTAAGACTGATGACTGGAGTTCATGCCCAGGACCCATGTAGTAGGAGCATGTAACCAACTCCTAGAAAACTGCTCTGACATCTATGCACTTCAAAGTACTCCAAAATAATTAAACGGACTGTAATAAAATTGTAATTTTTTTACTTTTATTTATTTACCTGTTCACTTTACACCTCATTCTTAGTCCCTATCCTTCTCTTCTCCTCGCCTCACCCTCCCTCACACTTCCCCCCCTACTCAATTGAGAGCCCCCCTTCCTGACAAACCTACCCCAGCACTCCAAGTCACATCAGGACTGAGCAACTAGCAAGGTAGCCCCACCAAGTGAGAGTGTTCAAAAAGCATTCAACAGAGTCCATGCCAGAAACAGCCCCCTCTTCGCTTAAAGGGACACCCAAGAAGACCAAGATGCCCACTGAGTACATATGTATAGGGGGCCTAGATACAGTGGGTGTCCTTGGTTGGTGCTTCAGGCTCTGCTGGCCCTCCTGAGCCCAGGTAGTTGTCTCTGTTGGTCTTGTGGATATCCTGTCCCCTCTGGGTCCTTCTGTTCTTTCCCCATTCTTCCACAGGACTCCCTGAGCTCTGCATAATCTTTGGCTGTGAGTCCCAGCATCTGTTTCAACCCTTTGCTGGGTTGAGCTGCTCAGAAGAAAGCTATGCTAGGCTCCTTTCTGCAAGCATAGTAGAATGTAGTTATTAGTGTTAGGGGTTGTCTCTCTCCAGTGGAATAGGTCTCAGGTTGGGCCAGGGATTGCTTGGACATTCCCTCTTTCTCTGATCTATCTTTATCCTTGCACAGCTTGTAGGCAGGGTAAATTTCAGATCAATAGTTTATAGGTGGGTTGGTGTTCCATCTCCCTCCCCCAGGAATCCTGTCTAGTTAGAGGATGGTCTCTTCAGTCTCCATGACCCTTCACTACTATGGGTCTCAGTTAGAGTCACCTCAATATCCTTCCTGGAGTCTGCACTGTTTTAGGTCTCCAACTTGTCTCAGAAATTTCCTGTCCACAGGTTCTATTCTCAAATTCTCTCTTTCCACTCCTGCTCCCACTCTCCCGACATCTGCTCTGCACTATTGTTTCCCTTCACACTCCCTCTCCTCTCCTGTTCTGTTTCTTCAAACACTTCTGATGTCTATTCTATTTTCTCTTCTGAGTAAAATTCAAGCAACTTCATCTTGGGGCCTCCTTGTTATTTAGCTTCTTTGGGTCTGTGAATTGTAATGTGGTTATCCTATACTATACAGCTAATATCTGCTTATGAGTATATACCATGTGTGTCTTTCTGGGTCTGGATTATCTCAGTCAAGATAGTCTTTTCCATTTCCATCCATTTGCCTGCAAATTTTATGATTTTGCTTTTCTTAATAGTTGAGTCGTATTCCATTGTGTAAATTACCACAGTTTCTTTATCCATTCTTTGGTTGAGGGACATCTGGGTTGTTTCCAGTTTCTGGCTATTACAAATAAAGGTACTATGAATATAGCTGAACACATGTCCTTGTTGTATGGTAGAGCATCTTCTGGGTCTATGCCTAGGAGTGGTATGACTGTGTCTTGAAGTAGAGCTATTCCCAATTATCTGAGAAAGCACCAAGCTGACTTCCAAAGTGGTTGTACAAGTTTACACTTGCACCAGCAATAAAGGAATGTTCCCCTTTCTCCACATCCACACCACCATGTGCAGTCCCTTGAGGTTTTAACCTTAGCCATTCTGATTGGTGTAAGATGGAATCACAGAGTCACTTTGATTTGCATTTCCCTTATGACACAGAACATTGAGAATTTTTTTTAAATTTTATATTAGTTCATTTACTTTACATCCCAAGTGTGCCCCCTTCCTCCTCTCCTCCTACTGCCCCCTGCTTCCTCTCCTTTCCCTTTTCTCTCTCCCTTTCCTCCCCCCTTATTAACCTTCCCCAACATCAAGTCACATCAGGACTGCACTTATCTTCGTGCCCTGAGGCCAGGCAAGGCAGCCCTGCCAGGGGGAATTGATCCAAAAGCAGGCAATAGAGTCCATGTTAGAAACAGGCCTCCCCTCCACTCACCAGGTGCCCCATTTGAAGACCAAGCTTCCCATCAGCTACATGTGTGCAGGGGGCTTAGGTCCAGATCATGCATGTTCCTTGGTTTATGTCTCAGTCTCTGTAAGCCCCTATGTGACTGGGTTAGTTGTCTCTGTTGATCTTCTTAGGAGGTTCCTGTCCCCTCCAGGTCCTTCTGTCTTTCCCACAACACTTTCACAGAACCCCAGGAGCTGTGCCCCATACTTGGCTGCAAGTCCCAGCATCTGTCTCAATCTACTGTTGGCTGTAGCCTCCCAGACAACAGTCAAGTTAGGCTCCTGTCTGAAGGCATAGCAGAGTAGTGTCAGGCTCTCTACTGCGGGGTGGGTTTCAGGTTGGGCCAATTATTGTTTGGACTTTCCCTCAATCTTTATTCCCTCATTATCCTTACACTTCTTGTGTAATTACACTTTAGGGTATTTTGAGTTCACAGGTTTTGTTGGTGGTTGTTGTTCCCCTCCTTCCACTAGTCCTGACTGGCTAGGAGGTGGTCACTTCAGTCTTCATGGCCCCCACCCTGTTAGGAGTCTCTGCTAGAATCACACACATATCCTCCCAGGAGCCTACCCTGTAGCAGGCCTCCACCCTGACCAAGATATGTCCCTCCTCAGTTTCTCTTCTTGTTCCCAGCCCCCTCACCTCCCCCATTCTCCCCACATCTGATCTCCACTTTTGTTTCCCTCCCTACTCCATCTCCTGCCCTGTTCTCTCTCTCTTCATCCACCATTTGTTGAAGATGCTTTTTTCCATTGTATGGCATTGGCTTCTTTGTCAAAAATCCACTTTTGGTAGTTGTGTGGGTTTATTTCTTGGTTTTTGATTTGATTCCATTGAAAGATCAGCCTGTACTGAAGAGTTGGCTCAGCTGTTAAAAGCTAGACACACAACCAAAATTATAAAATTATTTTAAATGTAAGAACAGGTAAGAATAATAGGTAATTACATTAAGAAATAACACACAATTTACAGAAAATGTTTTTATTATTACTTTAATTATGTGTATGTGTAAGGTATTAGGCTATGTGTACTCAAGGGCAGATGCAAGTGAGAGGTACCTAATAACCCTATAGTTATAAAAGCTGTTGTGAAACACCTGACATAGGTGCAGGGACCAAACTCAGGTTTTCTGCAAGATCAGGACATTCTCTTCACAGCTGAACCAACTTTCCAGTTGTTTAAACCAATTAACTAAAGACAGCTGTCCATAATTGCATTGTTAGATGAGAAGACTTAAAATCCTGGAAGTGTATCATATCTCTTGGCAATTACCTATTAATTGCAATCACATTTTACACAGTTGCCATTTGGGAATTACATATCCTGAAAGCGGTCATTTGCACAACACACACACAGACAAAAAAAAAAAATCTGGGTTACCTCTTCTGGTCTCAGAAGCTGCAGGAGTCACCAGTTACTGTGCAGAGATGACCAAGTCCAAGAACTATACCACACACAGCCAGTACCACAAATAGCACAGAAATGGCATCAAGAAACCACCGCCACAAAGACACAAATCTCTTAAAGGGGTCTACCCCAAGTTCTTGAGGAACATGCACTCTTCTGAGAAGCACAACAAGAAAGGCCTGAAGAAGATGCAGGCAAAGAATGCAAAGGCAATGAGTGTGTGAGCAGAGGCCATCCAAGGCCTTTGTGAAGCCTACCACCATTAAGCCAAAGGTGCCAAAGGGCCCCAGCCACAAACTCAGGCATCTGGCTTTCATCGCATACCCCAAACTTGGGAAGCAGATTTGAAGCTACATGGCCAAGGGTTGTAGGCTCTGTCAAACAAAACCCAAGGTTCAAACCAAGGCAGAGGCCGCAGCTTCAGTTAAGGTCCAGACTTCAGCACCAGCTCAGGTGAAGGCCCCATAGGAAAGGCTTCTGCTAATATGAAGACAGATGGACTGGTGTGACAAACCTACCTACACACTATTTACAGATGACCAGTGTCCTATGCTGTTTTTACAAATAAACCCAAGGCAATATCTGTTAATAAAAATCTGGTTTACCACTCTTGCTTGAGGGTTCTTATTTCATTTTGCTCATTCTAGTTATTAATATATATTTTACCTCTGAGTATATTCACAGAGTCTGTGTCTCACAGTGATGGAAATGAGGGAAGTAGGAAGAGGCTGGATGCTTCCCAAGAGATGGAATCAAGACATAGGGCTCAGTCTGTTCAGAGGTTTTTAACGTCATTGATAGGTTTGGTGCTTCTCATGAACAAGACTGAGGAACACTTTGTCCCTACTGCCAGATGAGAAGATAAATAAGGACATATTAATTGTAATTTTAACTTTTAGTTTTCAAACATTAATATTGCATTTATATAACTCTCATTTCTCACCCTCATGTTCCTACTTCCCCCATATAAATCATTACCAAATTTATAAGCTCCGCTTACTTTCACATGGACACACATACACACAAACACAAACACACAGAGACAAAGAAAACCTAATGAGTTTCTTTTTACTGTTCCTTCTATGTCATTGTATGTGGCCTGGTGAATTGGAACTAGGAAGCCTATCACAGGTCTTGTCCCAGTAGAAAACAGCCTCCATCTCCATAAGGACAGCATTAAACAGCAAACTCAGGAGGCACTGATTGTATGGGACTGATGACTTTAAACCATGCGCAGCCACACTGTTGTTAATGATTTTAGCTTTTGTAACTTATGGTCTGTACAACAACTCTTGCAACACTTCTCCAAGAGTCTTATTTGAAATGTCTCATCAATAAAAATGCTGAAGATACACTAACAAATCTTTCCTTTCTCTCTCAGATATGGATCAGTGTGTAAAGTGTCCAGAAGACCAGTATGCCAACACAGAGCAGAGCCACTGCATGCACAAAGCTGTGATCTTTCTGAGCTACAAAGACCCCTTGGGGGTGGCTCTGGTCTTAGTGACCTTGTGCTTCTCTGCATTCACAGCTCTGGTTCTTGTAGTATTTATGAAATACAATGAAACTGCCATTGTGAAGGCCAATAACCGCACTCTGAGCTACATCTTACTCATGTCACTCATGCTCTGTTTCCTCTGTTCCTTCCTCTTCATTGGTCATCCGAACTCAGTCACCTGTATCCTGCAGCAAATCACATTTGGAGTTGTATTCACTGTGGCTGTTTCCACTGTGTTAGCCAAAACAATCACTGTGGTTCTGGCTTTCAAAGTCACAGCTCATGGAAGGAGGATGAGGTCCTTTCTGGTTTCAGGGGCTCTTAACTATATCATCCCCCTCTGTACCCTCATCCAAATTATTCTCTGTTCAATCTGGCTAGGATTTTCTCCTCCCTATGTTGATATTGATGCACACTCTGAGCATGGCCACATCCTCATTGTCTGCCACAAGGGTTCAGTTGTTGCATTTTATTGTGTCCTGGGATACTTGGGCTGCCTGGCCCTGGGAAGCTTCACTGTGGCTTTCATGGCCAGGAACCTGCCTGACACATTCAATGAAGCCAAGTACTTGACATTCAGCATGCTGTTGTTCTGCAGTGTCTGGATCACTTTCCTCCCTGTTTACCATAGCACCAAGGGCAAGATCATGGTAGCTGTGGAGATTTTTTCTATCTTGGCTTCCAGTGCAGGGATGCTGGGATGCATCTTTGTTCCCAAGTTATACATAATTTTGTTAAGACCAGACAGAAATTCTATTCAAAAGATCAGGGCGAAATCATACTCCTAAACTCATATTTCATTAATTCTAACTGACAAATATAAGATCGGTGCATAATCACCAAATATTGTGTTGCACCAAATATAGTTCAATATCTATTTATTTCTAAAATTATGTTCACTGTTTCCTCTAATGATGTTTCATAGCATTATCATGGGACATAGTGCAGAGTGGACATGTTCTTTTCTGAAATAAAAAAAGCAAAATAAACTCAACGTTCTTATTTTAATATCTGGGTGAATGGCTGTGATGTCAGTTGAATGGTGCACAAAAAAATTAAGTTTATGGAAGAGTGAAGTCTTGTTTGCATGAAAGTAAAACAATGTTCCTCCTTAAAATAAGGGAATACTGATGCTAACCAAGGAGTTAGAAGATTAGAACTTAAAAGAGAGAATGATGGTTTGATAAACAGAAAGAATACGAAAGAAGATGGATTGATGTCTCAGCAGTTAATATCATGCCCTGCTCTTGAATAAGACCTGATTCAATACAGAGCCCTGAAAAATGGTGTTAACAACCAACTGTAACAATAGCCCCAAAGCATAAGATGCCCTTTCTGGGCTCCATAAAGGAATCAGTGCACATAACAAGATACTAAAACACACACATACACACAAAAATACACATGTGTACACACACAGTCATTTACATAAGTGAAAATACATAATTTTTAAATGAAGGAGAATGTTTTAAAAAGTAGGATGATATTTTTTCAATGTACATTTAAGATGTCAGATTTCAGTTCAGGGACATCTAGATTGTTTCCAGATTCTGGCTATTATGAATAATGTTGCTATGAACATAGTTGAGCAAATGTCCTTGTTGTACATTTTAGCATCTTTCAAATATTGGCCCAGGAGTGGTATCTTGAGGTAGCACTATTCGTAATTTTTTGAGAAAACATCATATTTATTTCTGAAGTGGTTGTACAAGACTACATTCTGACCAGCAATGGAGGAGGGTTCCCCTTTTTCTACAACCTTTCCAGCAGGTGTCATCCCTTGCGTGTTTTAGCCATTCTGATGGGTATGGGGTGGAATCTCAGTCATTTTGATTTGCATTTCTTGGAGGATTAGATGTCCCTCAACAGAAAAATGGATACAGAAATTGTAGTACATTCACACAGTGAAATACTACTCAGCAATTTAAAAAAAAAAAGGAAATCATGATATATGCAGGCAAATGGTGGGAACTAGAAAAGATCATCCTGAGTGAGGTAACCCAGAAGTAGAAAGACACATAGTATATACTTACTTTTAAGTGGATATTAGTCATATAATATAAGATAAACATACAAAATCTATAGTCCTAAAGAAGTTAAATAAAAATAAGGGCCCTAGGGAAGCGGCTGAAACCTCTCTCAGAAAGTCAAAAAGGATAGATATCAGAAGTAGGAGAAGACAAGGAACAGGAGCCTTCCACAGAGGGCCTCTGAAAGACTCTACCCATCACGGTATTGAACAAGATACTGAGAGTCATGGCAGAGTGCAGGAAACCTTATGGAAGAAGAGGGAGATAGAAAGACCTGGTGGGGACAGGAGCTCCACAAGGAGACCAACAAAGTTGGAAAAAAATTACCTGGGCCTGGTGGGGGGGATGCAGAAACCGATACTCCAACCAAAGATCATGCATGGAGAGTACCTAGACCTTCTGCTTTGGGGACACCCATAGGCTGCTCAGTTTCCAAGTGGGTTCCCTAGTAGGGGAGTGGCAGGAGATATCTTTGACATGAACTCAGTGGCTGGCTCTTTGATCACCTCCCCTGGAGGGTGTAGCCTTGCCAGGCCACAGAGGAAGATAATGCAGCCAGCCCTGATGAGACTGGATAGGCTAGGGTCAGATAGAAGGGGAGGAAGCCCTCCCCTATCAGTGGACTAAGGGCATAGGGGGAGAAGAGGGAGGGTGAGTGGGGCTGTGAGGAGATGAGGGAGGGGGCTACAGCCAGGATACAAAGTGAATAAATTGTAGTTAATTAATTAATTAGTTAGTTAGTTAATTAATTTTTTAAAAGATGTCAGACTTACAAGAACCTACACAGAAAGGATGAGATATGACAAGAGATGACTGGGGCTCTCTTTATGTATACCACATAATAAACATCACTGTTAAATGCACCATAAGAAACACATTTAGAAACATGACAATAGAAGAAATTCTTGTTAAAATAATCTCGTTTAGTATGCTTGAATTTTAGATGACTATGACAATCAAAACTCTCTGAAGTTGTCACATTTCACTAGGAACTATGAAACATCATGTTTGTTTGTTTGTTTGTTTGTTTGTTTGTTTGTTTGTTTTATAAATATCCCTTGGCCCAGGTTATATGGCTTAGATTTCTTTTTTTAATGACTAATTTATTTTCATTGCCTGTATAAGGCTGTTTTCTAATATGCTTACAGTAAGCATGGAAACTGTAAAATGTTGTAAAATAGCCTTTCAAGCAAAGTTAATAAAAAGAGATGGGGAAGGGCCTTTCATTCTCAGCAAAGAAAAAATCGACCAAGATGACATCTCAATTTTGAACATATATGCCCCAAATACAAGGGCACTCACATTCATAAAAAAACAAACAAACAAACACATTACTAAAGCTTAAATCACACATCAAACCCCAAGCACTAATAGTAGGAGACTTTACCACCCTTCTCTAACCAATGGGCAGATCCTTGAGACAGGAACTAAACAGGAAAATAATTAAACTAACCTTCTCCAAAATTGTCCATCTATTCAAACAAAAAGCAAGCTTCAAGAAATACAAGATTGAAATAACACTTTGTATTCTAGCAGACCACCATGAATTAAAGCTGTACTTCAACAACCACAAAAAGAGAAGAATACCAAAAAACTCAAGAAAACTTAACAACTCTCTGCTTAATGGCTACTGGGTCAGGGAGGAAATAAAGAAATTAAAGACTTTATGGAATTCAGTGAAAATGAAGACACAATATATCCAAAATTATGGGCCACAATGACAGAAGCGTGAAGAGGAAAGGTCATAGCACTAAGTGCCTTCATAAAGAAAGTGGAGAGAACAACTTAAGAGCTCACCTGATAGCTCTAGAAAAAAAGGAAGCAAACACACGTAAGTAGGAGGGAGGAAATACACAAACTTGAAATTAATAACCCAGAAACAAAGAGAACAATATAAAGAATCAACAAAACCATGAGCTGGTTCTTTGAGGAAATCAACAAGATAGACAAACCATTCTCCAAATTAACTAAAGTACAGGGGGAGAGTATCCAAATTAATAAAATCAGAAATTAATATGGGGCTATAACAACAGACACCCAAGGGGAAATCCAAAGAATTATTAGATCTTACTTCAAAAATATGTATGCAGCCAAAACATGGAAAATCTAAATGAAATATATAATTTTCCTGATAGAACTTGTCAACATCAAACCAAGATCAGGTTAACAATTTGAATAGACCTATAATCCCAAAGGAAATAGAAGCAGTCATCAAAAGCCTCCCAATCAAAAAGAACCCTGGGCCACAGGGCTTTAGAACAGAATTCTACAAGACTTTCAAAGAAGAACTAATACCAATACTCTTCAAACTATCCCACAAAATAGAAATAGAAGGAACTTTGCCAAACTCATTCTACGAGTCACTCTGAAACCTAAACCACACAAAGACCCAGAAAGAAAGAGAATTTCAGACAAATCTCCCTCAAACATTGATGAAGAAAATACTCAATAAAATACTTGCAAACCTAATCCAGAAACACATCAAGCATATCATCTACTGTGATCAAGTAGGCATCATCCCAAGAATGCAAGGAGTTTCAACATATGAAAACCCATCAAGGTAATCCACCATATAAGCAAACTGAAAGAAAAAAAATGACATGATCATCTCATTACATGCTGAAAAGGACTTTGACAAAATCCAACACCCCTTATGATAAAAGTCTTGGAAAGGTCAGGGATACAAGTCTCATACCCAAGCACGATAAAGGCAATAAGCAGCAAGACAATAGCCAACATCAAGTTAAATGGAGAGAACCTTAAAGTGTTCTTGCTAAACTCAGGGATGAGACAAGGCTACCCACTCTCACCATATCTCTTCAATATAGTACTTGAAATTCTAGCTAAAGCAAAAAGACAAGTAAAGGAGATCAAGGAACTACAAATTGGAAAAGAAGTCAAAGTACTGCTTTTTCGCAGATAATAACATAGTATAAATAAGCGACCCTCAAGATTCTACCAGATAACTCCTCTGGCTGATAAACACCTTCAGCAAAGTGTCTAGATACTAACTTAACTCAAAAAAGTCAGTGGCCCTCCTTTATACAAGTGACAAAAGGACTGAGAAAGAAATTAAGAAAACTACACCCTTCACAATATCCACAAATAATATAAAATATATTGGAGTATTATAGAGAAAGGGGAATCCTCCTCCACTGCTGGTGGGAATGTAAGCTGGTACAACCACTCTGGAAATCAATCTGGCACTTTCTCAGACAATTGCTTCCTCAAGACCCAGCTATACCACTCCTAGGCATAAATCCAAAAGATGCCCAAGTACACAAAAAGGACATTTGTTCAACCATGTTTGTAGCAGCTTTATTTGTAATAGCCATGACCTGGAAACAGTCCAGATGGCCATCAACGGAGAAATGGATACAGAAATTGTGGTATTTTTACACAATGGAATACTACCCAGCAATCAAAAACGAGGAAATCATGAAATTTGCAGGAAAACGATGGGATCTTGAAAAGATCATTCTGTGTGAGGTATCCCAGAAGGAGAAAGACACACATGGTATATACACACTTATATAGATCTATAAGATATGATAAACATAATGAAATCTAGACATCTAAAGAAGATAAACAAGAAAGAAGACCAGGGGTAAGATGATCAATCCTCACTTAGAAAGACAAATGGGATGCATATTGGACATAGAAGAAAACAAGTAACAGAACAGGAGCCTACCACAGAGGGCCTCTGAAAGACAGTGTATCAAAGCAGATAGATACTAAGACTCATAACCAAACCTTTG